GGGGTAGGGCTTATTATATTATATTAATAATTTACATTGCCGATTGATGATGAATTAAATATTCAATAATATGGAACTGTAAATTTTCCATTAATTAAGAAAATAATTCTAATTTTGTAAAGGGATTTTCGATTAATAAAATAATTCGGAATTTGAATATTTAAATTGATGATTACTTAAATAATCAAAACAATAAGAATGATGTTCACTAAGGACTTCAAAATTTAACGGTAATTATGATTTATGAATATGGTTATCGCTGGTTTTAATAATCTATTTCACGTCGATTCAACTGTTCTTGGGAGATATTATTAAGGCCGTGGCTATTTGCACCGTGCGTGTCACACGCAGACATGAAATATCTATAAACACCAAACAACGCCTATTGCAGAATGTTCCTAAGGACTTTCTCAATCCCCTAAAAAATCACCAACCCCCTGGGACACGTACTTGAGGGTAGTAGGAGGGTAAAAAAGTAATTTTGCGATTTTCACAAAAGTGTCATGTCTTGGACTTTTTCAGGGGAAAAGTCGACTGTCGCCAAAATTGAATTTATTCGCCGAGTGAAAGTCGATTCCGACTCTTTAAGCAGCGGGCTATTCAGAACTATCAAAAGTAGGTGGAAAAAGTGAAAACTGAAACACAAATTTTGTGATTTTGCAATTTTCACACAAAAAAAAAATTTTTTAACGTGAAATATGTATTCGGAACTATCAAAAGTACGTGGAAAAAGTGAAAACTGAACTGCGTGTGACACGCCAAACCCCGGGATTCCCTGCGTGTGACACGCCTGCGTGTGACCCGCACGGTGCAAATAGCCACGGCCAAAAAAATGTTTTATTTCTGCATTTCTGGGACCAGTGAGGGGCGCAGCCCGGCGCCACCCGGCGGAAAAATTCGATTTTGGCGAAAGTCGACTTTCCCCCCGAAAAAAGCCTAAATATGGCACTGTGGCCTCGGGGGAAAAACAAAAAAATTTTTATTTCTGCATTTCTGGGACCAGTGAGGGGCGCAGCCCGGCGCCACCCGGCGGAAAAATTCGATTTGGGCGAAAGTCGACTTTCCCCCCGTAAAAAGCCTAAATATGGCACTGTGGCCTCGGGGGAAAAACAAAAAAATTTTTATTTCTGCATTTCTGGGACCAGTGAGGGGCGCAGCCCGGCGCCACCCGGCGGAAAAATTCGATTTGGGCGAAAGTCGACTTTCCCCCCGTAAAAAGCCTAAATATGGCACTGTGGCCTCGGGGGAAAAACAAAAAAATTTTTATTTCTGCATTTCTGGGACCAGTGAGGGGCGCAGCCCGGCGCCACCCGGCGGAAAAATTCGATTTGGGCGAAAGTCGACTTTCCCCCCGTAAAAAGCCTAAATATGGCACTGTGGCCTCGGGGGAAAAACAAAAAAATTTTTATTTCTGCATTTCTGGGACCAGTGAGGGGCGCAGCCCGGCGCCACCCGGCGGAAAAATTCGATTTGGGCGAAAGTCGACTTTCCCCCCGTAAAAAGCCTAAATATGGCACTGTGGCCTCGGGGGAAAAACAAAAAAATTTTTATTTCTGCATTTCTGGGACCAGTGAGGGGCGCAGCCCGGCGCCACCCGGCGGAAAAATTCGATTTGGGCGAAAGTCGACTTTCCCCCCGTAAAAAGCCTAAATATGGCACTGTGGCCTCGGGGGAAAAACAAAAAAATTTTTATTTCTGCATTTCTGGGACCAGTGAGGGGCGCAGCCCGGCGCCACCCGGCGGAAAAATTCGATTTGGGCGAAAGTCGACTTTCCCCCCGTAAAAAGCCTAAATATGGCACTGTGGCCTCGGGGGAAAAACAAAAAAATTTTTATTTCTGCATTTCTGGGACCAGTGAGGGGCGCAGCCCGGCGCCACCCGGCGGAAAAATTCGATTTGGGCGAAAGTCGACTTTCCCCCCGTAAAAAGCCTAAATATGGCACTGTGGCCTCGGGGGAAAAACAAAAAAATTTTTATTTCTGCATTTCTGGGACCAGTGAGGGGCGCAGCCCGGCGCCACCCGGCGGAAAAATTCGATTTGGGCGAAAGTCGACTTTCCCCCCGTAAAAAGCCTAAATATGGCACTGTGGCCTCGGGGGAAAAACAAAAAAATTTTTATTTCTGCATTTCTGGGACCAGTGAGGGGCGCAGCCCGGCGCCACCCGGCGGAAAAATTCGATTTGGGCGAAAGTCGACTTTCCCCCCGTAAAAAGCCTAAATATGGCACTGTGGCCTCGGGGGAAAAACAAAAAAATTTTTATTTCTGCATTTCTGGGACCAGTGAGGGGCGCAGCCCGGCGCCACCCGGCGGAAAAATTCGATTTGGGCGAAAGTCGACTTTCCCCCCGTAAAAAGCCTAAATATGGCACTGTGGCCTCGGGGGAAAAACAAAAAAATTTTTATTTCTGCATTTCTGGGACCAGTGAGGGGCGCAGCCCGGCGCCACCCGGCGGAAAAATTCGATTTGGGCGAAAGTCGACTTTCCCCCCGTAAAAAGCCTAAATATGGCACTGTGGCCTCGGGGGAAAAACAAAAAAATTTTTATTTCTGCATTTCTGGGACCAGTGAGGGGCGCAGCCCGGCGCCACCCGGCGGAAAAATTCGATTTGGGCGAAAGTCGACTTTCCCCCCGTAAAAAGCCTAAATATGGCACTGTGGCCTCGGGGGAAAAACAAAAAAATTTTTATTTCTGCATTTCTGGGACCAGTGAGGGGCGCAGCCCGGCGCCACCCGGCGGAAAAATTCGATTTGGGCGAAAGTCGACTTTCCCCCCGTAAAAAGCCTAAATATGGCACTGTGGCCTCGGGGGAAAAACAAAAAAATTTTTATTTCTGCATTTCTGGGACCAGTGAGGGGCGCAGCCCGGCGCCACCCGGCGGAAAAATTCGATTTGGGCGAAAGTCGACTTTCCCCCCGTAAAAAGCCTAAATATGGCACTGTGGCCTCGGGGGAAAAACAAAAAAATTTTTATTTCTGCATTTCTGGGACCAGTGAGGGGCGCAGCCCGGCGCCACCCGGCGGAAAAATTCGATTTGGGCGAAAGTCGACTTTCCCCCCGTAAAAAGCCTAAATATGGCACTGTGGCCTCGGGGGAAAAACAAAAAAATTTTTATTTCTGCATTTCTGGGACCAGTGAGGGGCGCAGCCCGGCGCCACCCGGCGGAAAAATTCGATTTGGGCGAAAGTCGACTTTCCCCCCGTAAAAAGCCTAAATATGGCACTGTGGCCTCGGGGGAAAAACAAAAAAATTTTTATTTCTGCATTTCTGGGACCAGTGAGGGGCGCAGCCCGGCGCCACCCGGCGGAAAAATTCGATTTGGGCGAAAGTCGACTTTCCCCCCGTAAAAAGCCTAAATATGGCACTGTGGCCTCGGGGGAAAAACAAAAAAATTTTTATTTCTGCATTTCTGGGACCAGTGAGGGGCGCAGCCCGGCGCCACCCGGCGGAAAAATTCGATTTGGGCGAAAGTCGACTTTCCCCCCGTAAAAAGCCTAAATATGGCACTGTGGCCTCGGGGGAAAAACAAAAAAATTTTTATTTCTGCATTTCTGGGACCAGTGAGGGGCGCAGCCCGGCGCCACCCGGCGGAAAAATTCGATTTGGGCGAAAGTCGACTTTCCCCCCGTAAAAAGCCTAAATATGGCACTGTGGCCTCGGGGGAAAAACAAAAAAATTTTTATTTCTGCATTTCTGGGACCAGTGAGGGGCGCAGCCCGGCGCCACCCGGCGGAAAAATTCGATTTGGGCGAAAGTCGACTTTCCCCCCGTAAAAAGCCTAAATATGGCACTGTGGCCTCGGGGGAAAAACAAAAAAATTTTTATTTCTGCATTTCTGGGACCAGTGAGGGGCGCAGCCCGGCGCCACCCGGCGGAAAAATTCGATTTGGGCGAAAGTCGACTTTCCCCCCGTAAAAAGCCTAAATATGGCACTGTGGCCTCGGGGGAAAAACAAAAAAATTTTTATTTCTGCATTTCTGGGACCAGTGAGGGGCGCAGCCCGGCGCCACCCGGCGGAAAAATTCGATTTGGGCGAAAGTCGACTTTCCCCCCGTAAAAAGCCTAAATATGGCACTGTGGCCTCGGGGGAAAAACAAAAAAATTTTTATTTCTGCATTTCTGGGACCAGTGAGGGGCGCAGCCCGGCGCCACCCGGCGGAAAAATTCGATTTGGGCGAAAGTCGACTTTCCCCCCGTAAAAAGCCTAAATATGGCACTGTGGCCTCGGGGGAAAAACAAAAAAATTTTTATTTCTGCATTTCTGGGACCAGTGAGGGGCGCAGCCCGGCGCCACCCGGCGGAAAAATTCGATTTGGGCGAAAGTCGACTTTCCCCCCGTAAAAAGCCTAAATATGGCACTGTGGCCTCGGGGGAAAAACAAAAAAATTTTTATTTCTGCATTTCTGGGACCAGTGAGGGGCGCAGCCCGGCGCCACCCGGCGGAAAAATTCGATTTGGGCGAAAGTCGACTTTCCCCCCGTAAAAAGCCTAAATATGGCACTGTGGCCTCGGGGGAAAAACAAAAAAATTTTTATTTCTGCATTTCTGGGACCAGTGAGGGGCGCAGCCCGGCGCCACCCGGCGGAAAAATTCGATTTGGGCGAAAGTCGACTTTCCCCCCGTAAAAAGCCTAAATATGGCACTGTGGCCTCGGGGGAAAAACAAAAAAATTTTTATTTCTGCATTTCTGGGACCAGTGAGGGGCGCAGCCCGGCGCCACCCGGCGGAAAAATTCGATTTGGGCGAAAGTCGACTTTCCCCCCGAAAAAAGCCTAAATATGGCACTTTGGCTCCTGGTGGAAAAAAAAAATTGGCCGTGGCTATTATTAATTATCGTTTGATTATTGTGCGTCAATTGCCAATACAAAATGACTTTTCATATTATGTATGTATTAAATATAATGAATCGCCATTATGCATCAATTTAATGTTTCATATTATTATCCGGAACACTAATTATTAGCTGGGGAATGGGTCGATAATGATTAATTAGGCATTGAGCTCGAGTGAGAATTTCAGAATGGTTTAATTAAATCGTGATCGATCAATTTTTGAACAGTTTAAATTTCTTAAAGTATTTCTGAATTACCTCCTTGGGGTAGGGCTTAACAACTACACACGTTGGAACGTTCTCAGGCTGTTCTATCCAGAGTTTATGGTCCACTTTGGATTCCTCCAGCTTCGAGTGCAGGTCATGGAGACTTTTATCATCTGGAGCCTGCAAAAAAGAGTTTTATTTTTTTTTACTGCGGGGATCTGTTTATTTTCAGAGGGATCAATAATAGGGGAGGGTGTGCCTGTACCGCTCAGCGGGTAATACCGCTCACCCGATTTTCTCCACAACCATCAACTTGAAAATTTCTTTCTGTTCCTGACCATGAAGAATTTGATGATAGGATGTGGTTGTCGGACAAATTTCACTTTATTTACCACTTTAAATATGAAAAAACACATAACGAAATTGTGAGGTCTTTACAGTGCAAAATTTGTGGACTTTTAATTAAGGTTTTTGATAGTTTCAGACGCTGAATTCTCATATTAAACTGTGGTTATTCGATTCGTGGTACTTTCACGCGTAATTTGAGACCAATTCGAACTCAAAACTCCACTCATGTCAATAATTATCAACAATTTTGTTGACGCCGAGCGGAGCCGGTAATACCGCTCATAGGATCGGCCACGTAGTTGCTCGACAGCACTAGCGTACAGGTTATAGGTTGCGGCGCGAGCGATACACGCAAAACCCTATGAGCGGCATTGGAATCGTGCCGAGCGGTATTACCCGATGGTGGGTAGTACCAATAGGCTCTCTCTTTTATTTTCAATCAATTTTGTGAATTCTAAGGAGAATTAGGCGTGTACACTTCGAGAATAACGAGTTCAATAGTTAAAGAAGTCTCACAAATACGTTTTTTATACTCAAGTTGAAATATAAAATATAAAACTGGCATTTCCCCTTAGGTGGGCGGTACAGGCACACCCTCCCCTACAGGGCAATTAATTTTCCACATCTCGTTCAATAATGGGTTATCTTGACGAATGGTGTGAGGAGAAAATGTCAAGATGTCTTCTTTATTTGGAATTTATATAAATAAAAAATGGATTTTGTCGGGTTGTCCTCGATTCAGACAGTATCGAAATAATTGTTATTGATGATTATTAGTCTCCAAATTTTTGGACATAAAAATCAATTTGGTTTTTCTGCAATAGTGATATTTGGTTTGAAAAATGTTTGATTGATGCAAAAAAGGGACTAAACAGGTACATTTCATATTCGTGACGTTTGTATAAATAATTCATGGAGAACTATTCTCTCTGAAATACATGCGCAAGTAAAAAAAATTCAAATAAGTCCTACCTCCACAAAAAATTTCATAATTACCAAATCTCGAACATCTTGGATTAAGGGTGAAATTCAAGTCTTCACTGGGCCTTGAGACTCACAGATTATGATATATATAGCGGAATATGGAAATAACTAGGAAAAATCGCGGACCCGATCGATTTTGCCCCTTATAACCACGAAAAACTTCATTTTTTCCTGTTTTTACCTTGAAAATGCTTCTTGCGCCGCAGTTTTCATACGATTTTAGGTTCTTTGCTTCCGAATGGAAGCCTTGATTTGAGCGATTTTCCAATTTTATAATTTTGATGGCAAATGACCTAGAATGTTATGACACGTGAAGAAGTGGTGTTTTTAGGGTCATGTCTGTATGAATGTGTGTGACAACTTGGGTTTTTCGTGATCAATGTTTAGAAAATTCAACATAAATACGGTGAAATTTGTCGATAAAAGTCTAAAATTTTGGTTCATGATAGCTATGATTAAACTTCACTTTGGTGGGCAGTTTCAGCCTGATCGTTCCAGTAGTTCCTGAGATATAACAACTCCTTTAAATTTCGTTTTTCCTCAATATCTCAAAATCTATTCCACCGATTTCAGTTTTTTTCAAAATACTCATGTCGATGGCCTCTATCCAGATCAATCAAAATATATATACCCGTTCAGACAAAACTTGAAGATATTGTCGTTTTTCCGTTTTTTCATAAAAATTCTTGTTTACAAGATAACTTGAAAAAAACGGAAATAGCGAGTTGAAATTTTGTAGGCTTCTAGCTTTTATAACATCAAAGGTTGGTGTTATGGATGGGCTCAATTGGCCGAGTGGTTCTCGAGATATTCTACCTTTTGTGTAAATATATTTCTTCGAATATCTCATGAACTACTGGACGGATTTCAATTCTTTTTTTTTCAGAATACTTCTATCGGTGGCCACTATCTAGATCAATCAAAATATGTATACCCGTCCATACGAAGAGTTAGGGATATTCCCGTTTTTTCGTTTATTAAATTTTTTCATTCTTGTACGCACGATATTTTGAGAAAAAATGAAAATAGCAAGGTGAAATTTAGTGTGATAAGCTCTTACAATATTGAAGATTCGTATTTTGGATAGGCGCAATTAGCCGAGCAGTTTCGGAGATATTTAAACTTTTGTATAAATCTATTTCATTAAAAGGTTGAATATCTTCCTGTAGACAGCCTGTAGCATGTGGTTACGGTTGTATGCCTGTCACAAGGACAGGGAATTGCTACGGATCCATTCGGAAACTTACTACCAATAGAATTGGCAGAAATTGGTAGAAAAATAGAAAAGGACTAATAACGCAAAAGTAAAGGTCACATGCCTTCTGTCGTATGGGCTTGAAACCCTCCTTGTTTTTTAAATATTCGTTACACTCCAAAGAATAAAAGAAAAAATCAGAACGTTTACTTCCGGAAGAAGATTGATGAACTAATTTTAAAAATTGCAATTTGACAAATTTTCTGATTAAAAACGCTTGAATCTCAACTGTGGTCTGTACCAAACTCAAAAAGATCATTAAATTTCCTTAAATCGAAGTTTAATTATGAAATCATTACCTCCAAGACCACTTTGTGCATATTATCCAAATCAGCTAAATAAGCCTGGGTATGTTCATCATTGTAGAACAAATGTGTGACAGCTGTGCAAGCGTGACATGCCTGAGCTATGACAGCCCCCACTGGCCACTGCATGGTCTTCATAAGATCCCCCCGAACAATCACGTACTGCACAATTCCGGACATTATCGCCAAAACAACAATAACAATCCCCACTATTGTCTCTAACGTCCTTTGTTTATTTTCTCTTCGAGGTTATGATGCGAAAAACACTGAATTTTTACCATCAAAAATTGAAATAAAAGCTTGGAACTTCAACTGTTGTATCACTGAGTCAAATGTCTCTCCAATTTTAACAGATTTATATCAATTTTTATCGTTATTCAATGGTTGTTATCCCTTTATTGCTGCGTGCCAAGTGTTTGTTTTCTGAACCGGCACATTTGTTTATGTTCCGAATCTATTTATCGACACTTGGACTTCATTCGCACGTTTCTATCTCCCGAGGATAACACGCGCACACAACAACGTTTACGGGGTGATACGAAAAACACTGAATTTTTATAATAAAAAATTGAAATAAAAGCTTGGAACTTCAATTGTTGTATCACTGAGTCAATTGTCCCTCCAATTTTTGACGGATTTATATCAATTTTTATCGTTAATCAATCGTTATTATCCCGCCATTGCTGCGTGCCAAGTGTTTGTGTTCTGAACCGGCAGGTTTATTTACATTCTGACTCTATTTATCAACAAGTGGACTCCAGTCGCACGTTTCTATCTCGCGAGGCTAACACGAAGCAGGCAACAACGTTTTACCCGATGTGAAGAAGTAATTATTTCCGCTTTAATCAGTAGAAGTTAACGAGACCGACACGAGTGACCGCGGCGGGGGGAGCCGTTCGTACTTTCGCAACTGTACACATCCACGGCTGTCCACAGTTTGTGAAAAATGTGAGAGAACAACTGTACCACATCTGTGCACGATCGTTGCAGACGGTCAAACAGTGTCGGTACAGTAGAAATTGCATTCGTTTTATTTGCAGTCGATATTAATTATGTATGGCGCCATGTGTCCCACTATACCACAAATGATCGTCAGAACAAGGTCCGCGATTCTACCGGGTGTCCACTGTTAATTACACGCATATGTATCCCATGTAGACTCTTTTGAATTAACACTGCGTACCGCAGTCTCATTTGAATTGAGACATCAATCTAATATCATTGAATGGTTTAATAAAATTGAAAATGCAAATAAACTCGCTGTGAATTTATATAATTTTATTTTGAATTGAAATCCCGAGTTGTAGTCTACAACTCTGGTTTCAATTGAAAACCAGAGTTGTAGACCAGAGTTGTAGCAGCGATGTCAGACAAGGGGTGCGTTTCGCAATCGAGATAGTCGCAGTAACAGTACTACAACCCTATCCAATTTTGCTTGACTGCAGCTACGATAGTTGATTCCGAAACGCACTCAAGATATGAATGTTTTTTTGGGCTCAAATGAAAGAGCGGGTCGAGAAATGACGTGCTGGGGCCTCTAAACATGACAAAAGTCTCTAAAGATGATGTCTGTTTTTATTGAAACTTGTTTCACTGTCGACACGGGTCGACACCCGTGGATGTGTACAGTTGTGTAAACGAACGCCCCCCCCCCCCCCC